TTAAAGGTAAAATTAATTAAGAATTAAAAGTAAAGTAAATAAGAAATAAAACAAATACAGAATTAATTAAAGATTAATATAGAAGAATTAATCAAAAATTAAACTAAAGTAATTAAAAATTAAATGTGAAATAAATAAGAATTAGAAGATAAAATAAATTAAAATCAAATACAAAATCAAATTAATATTATATTTGAATATAATAAATATTATTTGCAATTTGTGATAAATTTCATTATATTTAAACTTTTTTGCAATTATAAATAGAATTCATTATTTTTTTTATCTAATTTATACTTATTAATTTAAATTAAAACTCTGAACAGTTAGATTAATCTAAAAATTTTCAGTTTAAATCAATTTCAATTCAGTTTTAGATTGCATAAAAATCAATTTAAAAATTTTTAAATTAATTCAGATTTTAATTTTAATCTGAACTGAAAAAATCTGAACTAATCTGAAAATTTTGATTGATTTGTTCCAATTGAATGATAAATATTATTCTAAATGAATAATATAAGAATCTTTTAATTAGAACAGTTTTAAATAAATGAAATTGTTTTGAAATGTCAAAATCTATTTTTTTAATCTTAATTTATTATAAATAAAATATGATTATAATTTAAAGTAATATTAAGTGTAAATTCTAGTTTGAATGATAGTTAATAATTTTGTATTTACATGTAAAAATAAAAAATAGCTTTAATTAGCATTATTTAATAAGTTGGATTAAAAGTTTGATTCATATCAAAAATCTATTTTAAAGAGATTTAAATCTAAATTTTTATTATATTATAAGAAAAAAAATAAAGAAATAAATTTATTGAAGACTCAAACTTTTAATAAACCATTTTTAATAAATTATTAATTTTAAAAACATTTATTAGATTAAACAAAAGGTATTTTTTATTTACATGATTTCTTTATTACTACTATTTTTTTTAATTTTTTATAAAAGATATTTAATTGATAATGTCTTTGTATATTCAATGCAATATTTGAGATAGTAATGATAATCTGCAATGCTATAAAAATTGTTATATAAAGTTTATTACTATTAAACACAAACAGTACTTTACTTTTGCAAAATAAATTAACTATTCTAGTAAACAGCTAAAATTATATATAGTAACCTTTTTTAAGATAAATGATTATTAGAGAATAAATGTATAAAATGTAAAATAAATTTGCTTTATTATTATATTATTTAAAGCTTGTAAAATACCATCATTAAATTTTTTTTAAATAGATGTCAGATAAAATTTCTTAATACTTATTTGACAATCGTTAAAGATTATTTCAGGATTTGATAATTTTAGCTTATTTGAAAATATGAGTAAAACATTATTAAACTGATTCATATTTATAAAGATATCAAACTTGATCAATAATGATTAAATGATTATCTTGTTTTTTAAAATATAAAAGGATTGAGAACATTTTTCTATTAGAATAAAAATATATTTAAATCAAAGAATTTTTTGAAATGCTAGTAAATAAAATAAAGGAAAAGTATCAGATTAGCAATAACAGCTATTTATAGAGGTAAGAAATATTATTCTAAACATATATTTTGATTATATATTAATATTTGCAAAATTTTGATTAGTATTACCTGAATTCTTAAATTTTCATATTATTAAATTATTATCAGATTCTATTTTTTTTTTTTCTATTCACCACCTAATTTATTAATTGTTATCTTTAATATAGGTAATTTTTAATGAATTTTTGTAGATATCAATTAAATATCATAAGCGTTATACAAATAGTATTACTATTATATGGATTTTTAATTAAACTCATGAATCTAGTAAGTTTATTAAATACTTTATTTTTTAATTAGATTATAATATTCTTTTTTATTTTAATCTAAGATGTTAAAATCATAATTGCAACACTATCAGTCTTCTGTAGCTGAAAATGTAACATTAATTAAAATTAGACTTAGTGAACTTTTTGAGTATATAAATAAATAAATAAAATATTCTTGTAGTAGTTTATTTGGTAAAGTTTGCCTACTGATTATTTAAATTATCATAAATATGTTATAAAGGAATTGTTAATTCTAAAATTATCTAACTATTTTAGATTCTAAAAAGTTATTAATAACTTATATTTAAAAAACATTAATATAAAATTCAAATTAACTGATTAATCTATTATAAATTTTTTATTAATGTTTTATTAAATTATGTCACAAAAAAAAATAAAAAAATATTATTTTATATGAATTAATTCTTTTAAAATTATTTTAAATCCTACTTTTTATAAAAAATTGATTGTAAAAAGCCAAAAAGATTTTATTTTAAATTTGCAAGTTAAAAATTTATAGAAAAACTTTCAATTATTTATGATGACTTTATCAAATATATTTAATTTTTAGCATCTCTTTATTTTATTCTTGTTTGATATATTTATTATCATCAGATTATTTTGATTTCTCATTTACTCAATAAATATGCAATTTTTTAATCATTACTAAATCAGATCAAATAAGATAATAGAGTGCAACTAAAGTGTTTCAAGATTTATCATAAAATTTATTATTGTAGAGCCATCAATCAGTCTTACATTAGATCTAATTAGGATTAAAATAAATTACATAGCAAATTTATAAATTATAATATGTATGATATATTTATTAAAAGTTCATTCTAATTCTTTCTTGAATATTTAAAAGTATCATTCAATTAGAATGATAAAACATCATTTCAAATAAATGATAAAAACTGAGTTAAACTTTCAGATTAATTCAAAATTTTTAATTTTATTAGTCTTCAATTCAATTCAAATTCAGATTAACATTTTTAGTATTAATAATCTGAACTGAATTAAACTAAAATTTTCAGTTTAGATTCAGATTGGCTTAGTTTTGTATCTTATAAATTATAAGAAATAATATTTAGCAAATTTACAATATATAAATATAAAAATGTATTACAATTATTAAAGTAATTTAAAGTATATGTTTAAAATTTAAGCTAAAGTAAAAATAATATTTTATTAAAAAGTTTTTTAAAATATCATTATATAATCTAAAACAAATTAGTAATCTTTAATTTTTTTTATGTGATATTATATTTGTACAACTAACATTTATTATTATTCTTCATTAAGAGCTTGATGTATATTCAATTTGGATTTTCTTTTTTTCACGTTGAATTAGAAATCTTGTCATTTCTTAGATTTTATAAAATTAAACTGAAGAACATAAACAAAATATCAATAATATATATTACATTTTTACAAGGTTTAATTACTGACTCTTCATTTAAATATCGTGCCAAAGATGTATAATAGTTATACACAGATTCTTTTCTGTAATTTACGGCATTTAACTTCTTTAGACATGTAATAAACCTACACAAAAAAATCTTCAGGAAAAAAAAGAAAATTGTATGTAGACAAAAAATCCATCGATACTTCTGTTACGGATTACTTGGTTAATTTGCTAATCACATGTGCTTACTCGCATGTATGGAATAACAAGTATTTATTATTATATGATTAGTTATAAAAATAGGTTAGCTATGCTATGTATCACTCTAATAAACCGAGAAAATTTACTAAAATGTTATTTTCTATAATATTTTTATTTTGATCTTTAATGGACTTTATTATATGAATAAATATTTATATCGCGGGTCGCGATATCACTATAAATAAATCATAAAATTGTAAAATGTTCAATTCAATATCGCTCCCCTATAAATGATGACGTAATTGTTTTTTATATTGTAAAATTTTATAGACTATATAATAAATGCCGCGACGCAATTTAATTACGCTTTAATAAAATTACCAAGCGATGATCAATGAAATCGCCCTCTAGTTAAGCCACTGATAAAATTATATACTGATTGTTATTGTTTGCTCTTTCTTTCTCCCCCCATACCTTATGTTTCATATTCTTCCTCAATTGTTTTATTCCTTCAACGTTTCGTTCATCATAATAGCTCTCTTATTTTTTTGCCATGAATATATATAACTTCGAAAACCAATCAGGTTAGAATTATTATTAAAATTTACAACTTTAATTAATCATCCTATTCTTCGTTTATGTACTGAAAATTATGATAATCCTTAGAATCATACGAACCTTTTTTTCAAGAATATGAACCTTTTATATCTATACCCGATTTTATTACTAATGAAAGAAATGAATATTATAGTGAAGATACTCCCGATGATTTTGTTGATTCTTATCAAGAAATTTCAAATGATGCAACTATACTTACTTGTATAAAAATCGCTTCTGAAGATATCAGTCTAGATACAACTTTTCTTTCTTGGAATGAAGTTGAAGACTTTTTTGAAGACTATGGATATTGAAATGGTTTTGCAATTAATAAATATCGAATGGAAAGGGACAAATCTTCATTATTACTAAAAGAACCTTTACTTGTGGATTTGGTGGCAAAAGATCAATTTTAAGGATTCTGATTTGGAAAATGCAATTCAAAGATTTAAAGCTATCAATTGAATCAATATAAATAATGATGCATCAAATCTTTTAATTAGCCTTGTTCAAAAAAACAGGAAAATCCTCAATTTTTTTTGAATTTGAATTAGATACAAATAATCGTCTTACTTGTCTTTTTTGGATGACTTTTGAACAAATTATTCTTTGAATTAAGTATTATGATATTATAAATAATGATAATACAGCTAGAATTAATATATATAATATGCCTTTGAGTGTATTTGTTGGTATTGAAAATAATGGACGTATAAGATTACTTGCATAAGCTATTGTTAGTGATAAAACTTTTGAAACTTATCAATGGATTTTACACAAATATCAGAATAACCTTTGTAAATCACTATTTTTTTTTAATAGAATAATTTATTAAAAAATTTTTATTAGCTAAAAATTATCTTGTTAGAGTATTATAACTATCTAATAAATCATGAACTTGATGTTATTTATAACAATTTTTACTACTAATATTGAAAGTACTTCACAAGTTGAAGGAATAAATAGTATTATTAAAAGAATAATTAAACTTTATGTCAGCTTGTTAAATGTTTAGCTAAACAGCTTATTACAAAAATTCATAAAAAAAATTTCATGAATATTGATCTTCAACTACTAATTTAATTTCAATATTAATAGATAAAGATTTTTTTTTTATCTATAATTAAAATATTAAAAAAGGATTTATATATAAATATATTAAATACTATTAAAGTAGAAATAGCATAATGCTTATATCTTTAAGCAATTTTAATTTTGCCTTTTAAATTATAACTTAATTAAGAACAGATATTATAACAAATTTATTATTAAAAAGGTTTGCTATATTATTTGCTTTCTGAAAGTGGGCAATGAGGCTAAAAGCTGAGCAGATATATTAAAATTAGAATTGAAATTAGTTAGAATTAGAGTTAGTTAGAGTTAGTATTAGAGGTTAAAGTTAAAGTTAGAATTTGAATTAGTAACATTATTAATATTTTAAACATTAGGAATTAGAAAAAAAAAAATAACAGTTTTATTGAAGATAATTATAGAATTTGACAAATTACTTTACAATTAATCATTAATAAAATTAGAAAAAAAGATATTAAAGCAATATAAAAGATTTATAATATCTGATTAGAAAAAAATACATATTCATTATATTAGAATTTTTAATAAAATTTCATTTTTATGCTCATGTTTATTTTTAATATTAAAAGAAATTATTTGCTATTATTATTTTTGTGTAATAATATTAATTAAAATTATAGATTTACATATTTTTATAATTCTAAAAAGATAGTATTATAATGTTTATTAAAAACTAATATTAATACGTAAAGAAAATATAATATTCATTCATAAGAAAGATAATATTAAGAATAATAATAATATGATAATAATTTTATCAGTATGTAAGAATAAAAACTGTATCAATTATGAAAAAATCTATTTAAAAAAATAAGATATGAAAAATTATGAGAAATAGTATATGAAGTTAGATTACTGTATTTGATTCTGATAATCATAAGATAGAATATTTATTACAAGATTATATTAATTTAAAGAAAAAATAGTGAATCAATTATAATAAACACTCAAATAAAAATATTTGTATTACTATCTATTAAAGAATATGAAGAATTAATATTTTTTACTAATAAGATGTAACAAATGAATCTTAATGATAATATTGAATTATCTATTAAAAACTTAAATTTCAAAAATTTTAAAACATTCAAAATCCACTTAAAATAAATACCAAAGAACATTTTTCAATAAAAAGGTATAAAAGTAATGTAAAATTGAACAAGAAAATAATAGCAATACAAAAAGTTTATAACTATAATACTTATAAATGCTGTATATATGATTAACTCAGTCAAAATATTATATATTATAAAAAAAGAAAAAATAATATACTTAAAGAACATGATATTAATATGCAGTTCTAAACAATTTTATTATTTGTAATATATATTATATAAAATCAATAAATTTTAATATCAATAATTTAATATTTTTTAAAAAATTTTTTTAAAGATATTAAATATTGATATCATTTTCTTAAGTTAATTTTTGATGATTGTGAGATATAATAAAAAAATTTTTTTTTATATTATCATATTTTTTATAAAAGTTTTTATATTATATATTTGATTTAAATTCAAAAAATTATTATCATTTTTACCTTTTTCAATATTATATAAAATATTTATAAAATTACTATTTTTTTTGATTTATTATATTATAAATCAACTTTTAATACAATTGATAAAAAATTTTATATTAGATAAATCTTAAAATAAAAATTTTTATTTGCAGTTATATATAATATAAGAATTGAAAATTTTTAATAGCTAATTGTTAAAGTTAATTATTATTAAAATTATTAATATAAAGTAAAATTAATAATATTTAATTATTTATAATAAAAGTTTAATAAAATTTTATTAACTAAATAAAATAATTTTATAGATTAAATATTAATAATAAAGGTACTATCAGAAATTATCTAATATTTTAGAAGTAGAAGAAATAATAAAAATCTTAAATTATATATAATAATATGATCATGTAATAAACATTTATCATATGATAATTATTTTAATAAAAAGTAGCTTAGCAAATTATTATACATTTATTACTTTATATAAAAAAATACATATATACATATATTTAATACACTTTTTATAAAATTTAACTCATTCTTCATCTGAATTACAGATCTTTAATTTAAGTTCTATATTATCATACATTTTTTTTATTAAGATAAAAGAAGAAAAAAGATTATCAAATAAAGAGGTTTATTATTTTTTAAGCTATTCTCAAATATTAGAATACATTAATAATTTATGATTTGTTAAGAATGTAAGAGTAAGAAAATATTTTTGATAAATGTGATAGTAAAGCTGTAAATATATATATTTTTTAATAGACATACAATAGATATTATAACCTAATATTTTTAGAAAATCTCTATACTGAAAAAGATAAATCAGATTTGTGAATTAGCTATCTTTGGTTTTAATAATTGATGGTAGGAAACCATTATATAGATGAAGAAAGTTCATGGCTTCTTTAGTTTTGAGTAATCTATAGTAGTTAATATTTATATAATATTTGATATAAAAAAAGTAGATGCATAAATTACAGTTAGTTTTAATCTAAAACTATAATATAAAATATTCAGATTAGGTATATATATTATTTCATTATCTGAATCATTTGATTTTTTTTTGTTTTTATCCTTCTTTTTAATTTTTTAACCTTTTCTTTTCCATTCCCTCAAATTATATGTATTCAAATAGATTTGTAAGTACATTAATATAATAAATATTAATCTTCTTTTTGAAAATTAAATCATAATATTAAATTTTATAAAGAATTTCTTTTGAATAGTGAAAATTTCAAATAACTAATTCAGATCTATAATTTTGCTTTGTGAATTTAAATGCAAATCAAAATAATCAATTAGCTAGAGTTTTAAATGAGTTGAGTTGAGTTGAGTTTAAAGATCAACTCTATTCGACTCTTTTTTTCGAGTTGAGTTGAGTCAAATTTATTTTATAAAATCTTTCAATTTGATTTGATTTGAGTTATATAAATTTTAAACTTGACTCAATTTGACTCGACTCGATTTTAACTCAATTTGATTTTAACTTAAATTTATTCAAATTGAGTTAAATTCAAATCAAGTTATAAGTCAATTTTAAATTTTTATAAACATTTAAATATAAAAAAAAATCCTCAAAAAATATTTCTAAAGTACATTTACATTAAAGGGCTACTTCTAAATTAATAAAAAAATAAAATAAAAAAATAAAAAATAAAAAAATTTAAAATTAAAGAACGAAATCAAAAAAAAATTAAAAAAAAATAATAAAAAAAATGAAAAGATCAGAAGGGAGAGGGAGTGAACGATTCATCATTGTTCTTCTTGAACAATTTTTTTATTGTTTAAGTCAAATGATTCGTTATCGTTCTTCTTAAACAATTTTTTTTATCATTTAAGTCGAACGATTTGTCATTGTTCTTCTTGAATGATTTTTTTATTATTCAAGTCAAACGATTCAGATTATCATTCTTTTTAAATGATTTTTTTATTATTTAAGTCGAACGATTCAGGTCATCATACTTCTTAAACAAATTTTTTTATTGTTTAAGTTGAACAATTTGGGTCATCATTCTTCTTGAACAATTTTTTTATCATTCAAATCGAACGATTCAGGTCATCATTTTTCTTGAACAATTTTTTTTATCGTTCAAGTCGAACAATTTAGGTCATCATTCTTTTTGAACAAATTTTTTTATCGTTCAAGTTGAATGATTCAGTCATCATTCTTCTTGAACAATTTTTTTTATTATTCAAGTTGAACGATTTGGATCATTGTTTTTCTTGAACAATTTTTTTATCATTTAAGTTGAATGATTCAGGTCATCATTCTTCTTGAACAATTTTTTTTATCATTCAAGTAGAACGATTCAGGTTATCATTCTTCTTGAATGATTTTTTTTATCTTCAAGTTGAATGATTTGGGTCATCATTCTTTTTGAATTGTTTAAGTCAAACAATTTAGCTTATTGCTTTTCTTGAACAATTTAATTTTTTTATCATTTAAGTTGAACGATTTCTTATCGTTCTTTTTGAATGATATTTTTTATCATTCAAGTCAAATGATTTCTCATCATTCTTCTTGAACGATTTGATTTTTTTTATCATTCAAGTCAAATAATTTTTTATTGTTCTTCTTAAACAATTTTTTTTATTGTTTAAATTGAACGATTTCTTATTGTTCTTCTTGAATGATTTTTTTATCGTTCAAGTCAAATGATTTTTATCGTTCTTCTTGAATGATTTTTTTATCATTCA